CATTTGTTTGTTTGTTTGTATAATCTCCCTGAACACGATTCTCAGGCAGCTTTGCCAACGTCATTTAGGGTTGTCCCACTCAGCTTTTAGGAGACGCCCTGTGCGCTTGCGCAGACGCACAGCGGACTTTTTGACTGCATTTGAATTGGAATATATTTACAAAGGTCAGGATCAGATTTATTTGATCAGTTCACGGTCTTTTTAAAGCACAGATGCAGACTAAGCATGGTATACCGCTGATTAACGTTTAGTAACGGTAGGTCTTGTCCAATTTTTAGAGTAACGTGCTACTTAAGTTACCGGTTAACGTTACACACCAGTTAGCATAGCAGCATTAACAAAAGTTAGCATTAGCTAATGTAACCGACGTTTGGATGACAAAGTGAACAATCCTTTTCGAGTTTCTCAACAAGCTTAATCACCTTCAGTAACGTTACGCTCGGTCGGTTAGCACGTCCAATTTGAAAATGGAGAAAAGTATTTGTAACGTTAGAGAAAAATGCTTATTAACGTTACTGTGCATTCAATTAACAACGTAATTAAGCTTAGGAACGTCTCCATTTTGTGGATACGCTTTTTAGGTAAGTTAACTTTAATATGTTTGAACTGGCCCAATCAATCAGAAACGTCATCCATCAAGCCCCAGGTTTTCAAATTTATTGCGTGCTGCTGCGTGTGTTAAATCATTGGTGGAGAAAAGCTAAAACATTTGTTTTAATCAAGTTATCGATTTCTTCATCCAAGCACCTCTCTGTGTTCATCTGGTCATGTCATCTATAACGAAAATGATACCTTCAAAAGCTTCCAAGATGACTACTTCTTCAGCATCAAAGATCAAAACTAAGTTTCTCAGTGAGTCTGTCATTTCTGTGCCTGTTTTTTTTTTTTTTTTACAACATTACATCGATCTTGTACGTTTTGTGGTTCCCAGACATTTGCTGAAGGAATAGAAAATGTTAAATTATTCTAATAAGTATTCCTGTTCTTCATGACCACCACACTAGACACCTCCTCCTTCTTCAAGAGTTCCTTAAAGACCAACAACAAGGCCCTAGCACTTGCTTTGGAGGCCCAGAAGGAGAAGAACAGGGAGCTGGATATGAAGGTCGAGTGCCTGCAGAAAGAAGTGAATGCTCTGTACGGTGAGCTGGCCATCAGCAAATACAAGGAGAGGAAAATGGTGCGTTTGTTGCTAAAGATATTTAGACTTATAGTAGGTAGGCAGAGGCCAATCATTTCTGACCAGGTATTCAGCTGAATGCACAGAAATGTTCTCTTTGATTTGACAGTCTATTGTACTGGCTGCTGTTCATTGTGTTTTCCCCCCACAGCTCCTCATCTTGAAAAATTTCCATAGCAGCACTCTGCGGCACTTTGACATGGTGGCTGACCTGTTCCCTGACTGTGTAAGGATTCCTCTCATTACTATGAGTGTAAAGAGATCTTGTGCCATGAGATGTGGCAATATTAAAAAGTGATGATATTTCTAATTGAGCTGTCTTACGTAAAAGAACCAGTGCAGCAGCCAATGTGACGGGGTGTGATGGTACATTCACATTAATCCAGACAAAACCACAACTCCCTCTTGTGTTTGACACATGGGGCTGTCCTGGTCATGGGGTGAGGGGTCGCAGGGGTAGTGTTGTAGGCATGATATAGCCATGCTGTGACGAGCTGATGTGGGTGGCTTTGTTTACGTTTCTAGCCCAGGAGTTTCTGCACCAGTTCTACTGCCAGTGTGTCAGCATTGTTAGATAAAGAACACAGTTTAACATTCAGCACTAATGAAAATGCATGGGATGTCATTATGGTCCATTAATTGTGGCCCAAATTCGACAGTGAATAGCAGTGAATGCTCATGCTAACAATGTAAACATAGTCTTCATGGCCCAATCCTCCATACGCGATTGGTCAACGTAGAGCCTTTGCTGGATGATGTCGCTGTCCAGGGCAGTGCGGTGAGGGTAAAAATTGCAAAGGTCACACACAGCTTCACTTAGAAGTTAGAAGCCCGTGCATAGTTTGTGCACAGTTATAAAGTCTGAAGAGACTCGTGAAATCATACAGGAGAGAATCTGGTCGGGTTTGTGGCAAAACCTTTTACAGTGCTTGCATATTGCTCTGTTTTTACTGCATATGATAACTCATATTCATAAAGTAGAACTGCAGTGACTTTCATTACAAGATGATTAGTTAAAACATTTCAAAATGCACCTGCAGCGTTTTGCATTTTGTGGCTTTCAATCGAATAAAAGACTATTTTTGCAATCATATATTTTGTCATGGAAGATTTCTTATAGTGTTAAAGTCTCATCTCATTCTTGTGAATCCAGTATTGTGCATCATCTCGTCTCATGAGCAGAGTGTATCATCACACCCCTACACGTTACTTAATAATTAGATAGTTAGAGTTGTCTGTGATGAATAAAAGAATAAACATTTGAATTATCGTGGGGCGGCTGTGGCTCGGGGGTAGAGCGGGTCGTTTCCTAACCGGAGGATTAGCGGTTTGATTCCCAGCTTGTCCAGTCAACATGTCGAAGTGTCCTTGAGCAAGACCCTGAACCCCCAGTTGCTCCCGGTGATGTCACCGGTGTGTGAGTATTTGGGAGTACGAATGGGTGAATGGCCAAGTAGTGTAAAAGCGCTTTGAGTGTGCTGTAAAAGTGTAGAAAAGCACTATACAAGTATAAGACCATTTACCATTCATCACATCATTGATCTATCGGGACTTGTAGCATCTCGTAGTGTGATTAAAATATTATAACCATTACGATTTAACTATTGTCCATCCCACCTTTTGTGTCTCAGTGTGTGTAAGTGTAATATAACCTTTATTTACTTAAGACCATATGCAAGAGAGACCTCAGTACAGCAGAAGACATGGTTAGAGTGGAAAACATTGCAAACATTGGCTGTCACACATGAGCACTTATATACAAATACCCGAAGCCATCTGTTTTCCTGAAAAGAGTTTAAAAACATATTTATACTCTGTTTATTCATCACTGTTGATTTGACAGCAGCAGCACTTGTATTGTATTTGTATATGTATAGCATTTGTATATGCTTTGTATTTCTGACAAGTGTGTTATATGCATGGCTATGTCATGCTGGACATCATGTCAAACATCACACCTCTCATACTGGCATGCTGGTATCTGTAAAAAGAACACAGGTCCAGCATTTTGCAGGCCTTTTATAGTTCAGTGTAAATAGATAAAGCTGCAATAAAGAAGGGCCAGCTTAATGCCAACATGTTGGAATCTCTGTCTACAGCAAACTGTTCGTTTTCCTGCCCTCAAGGGAAAACAATTTCTCTTTTTCTAATTTGGAAGCTTGTGTTTAAATGTAAGAGCGCTATCTAATCAAAGTCACAAGTATTCATACGATTGAATAACAGTAGAAGAAAATGCTCAGCAGTGACAAACTATGGTAAACATAATGTGAAATCGACTAATCATTTCCCACAGGAGCTGCCTAGACTTTCTAAGGATAACGAGAGGTTATTTGGTGAGACCAACGAGGAGGTTTGTGCAGTTGCAAGGTGAGTAAATCCTGTATTGAACTAAGGCAGCTTTGAATGTCATTTGGTATGTCTTTGTTAGCTTATTTCTTTCTTTCTTGATTTTCTCCCACCCTCTCCTATTTTAGTGATAAAAACCAGTTACCTCCTTGGCCAGAAATGTCAACTGATCTGTTGTGTACCAGCAAAAATATAACAGCTGACCTGTGTAAAACAAACACAGATGAGAAAGTCTTCTGTGTCCAGAGTAGATCCACAGAGTCCATTGATCATTACAATGGTAGGAGGATAAATAGTTTTTAGTGTTTAACATATCCAGTAACATATCATAAAGTTGTCTGCCTTATGGTACTGATGTAGTGTTCACTGTAAATAATAATTAGAATGTTTCCTACACCTGCTTTCTCACATATAACACAGATGCTGAAAAAAGACATTCAGGCCGATGTATACAAGCTGCTCAGACAGAAACATCCCATCCACCCAGCAGCCCACAGGATAAAGCTGAGAGGCTGTCAATGATGCCCTCTCTTTCTGGGCTTGATATGAAATCGGTTCCCTGTCCTGAGAACAATCAGCCCCCCCCAGTTGTCAGCACATGGAAAAAATCCAGATCAATTCTCGGTGATAATGTGAACCCTCTCTGTGGCTGGGTCCTGGAGACAGAGCCAGAACTTGGCGACAAACAAGAGAAGACTGTGCTTTTGAATACAACAATGGAGATGACGATAAGTAATGCTACTGAGATTGTTGTTGTGGAAACCAAGGCCAAAAAGGCAGGCCACTATGGCAAGCCAAAAGGCAAGAAGAAGAATAAGGAAAAAGACTGTGGGTCAAGCGTTGCTGAAAAGCCACAAATGACAAATTCTGCAGATTCTATGATGAGTGAGGCTCAGCAGAGTGCTCCTTCTGACACTTTGGTAGAGACAGATGTCCATGCACTAGAGGATATTAGAGACCCAGAAATTATGAAGCATCAGTCAGACAAAACAGACAACAGGAGCCTCATTACCTCTCGTATTCCAAAACTGAGCAAGTCTGAAGTTGGCAACCGTCAGAAAACAACAAAGCACAATTTGAAACCCCATGATGACTCCAAGTCACAGACAGAGTCCTGGGATGATGTGTTACTGGAACTCGACGACTGTTTCAAGGATCCTGATATTAAATTCCCTAAACCTAGAAAAACTGTAAAAATACCAGCAGAAAAAAATAGTGCAGAAGAAGGAAGGTCCAAAATCACATTCCAGAGGTCCAGGACTCAAGGCAGGAGGATGTCTTCAGCCATTAGGAAAACATTTGTCACTTTGCCATCTTGTGAAAGTGAAAGGAGTCCATCCATGTTGGCACCACTTGACACTGAAGTAGGCCAAGAAGTTAAGGAAACGTATGAAGCACACAAACATCAAGAACAACTTCAAAAGTTTTGTGCAGATGAGATTGCACATCCAGAGTCAGAACATGGGGAGCATCTTTCCCCTAGTGGCAATAAACCACAGGGCAAAATGGAGGCTGCTGCAAATTCTGCAGGGAGTCACAAACCAATATGCAGAGGGACATTTGTTGTCTCAGTCACTATGGGTAGCAACTCATCGAACAGCTTGATGCCAGAAATGGGCGTCAGAGACCAGGACTTCATGCCTAGTGCAGGATCCAGCTGTGAGGCAGAGGAACCATCAGCAGTTATCGATACAGATGTTGTTCAGCAACATTCAGAATCAAATCCACACACACACAGTGACGGACCCTTTGTTGAGAGCACACAGAGCTCCTGTAAGCATCCGTGGGTGGCTAATGAGGATTCATGGAACTTTGAGAAGGGGTTGAGTAGAAGTGATAACCATGAAGTACCGCTGCCCAACTGGGACTGCACTTCAGAGACAGAGTTTCAGAAACCCAAAAGAACCAGGAGAGAAGCGTTGAATCGACCCAGCAAGAAGAGAGGCATGCAGAGGGAGAAGTGTGGTGACCCTTTGAATCAAAAGAAAGAGAAGAATAACAGTAGCTGTAGCAACAAAGGCTTTAGATCTGATCTTCAGAAACCCAGTGATGATCCTGAAAATCAGGAACAGTCAGAACATTTCCCAGTGATTGACTCATACCCTAACATCAGTGGCAAGGACTACACATTTGATTCAGAACTCGCCGAGGCAAACTCCCAGGAGAATTTGAAACCACGTAGAAAGACATCCAAGCTGCATGCACGCACAGACACTAGAAATCCAAGGGAGACATTTGTTGTCTCTAGGTGGAAGACTCAAGACAGTGATTCATTCAACACAAGGACATCTGATGTGTTGCACTGCCACAGTTACACCAAAGACACCAGTGATCAGGTGGCTCATCAGAATGCGGGAGACCTGCTGACAGAGGAGATGCCACCATGGCTGGCCATGGACATCAGCGCTACTAACTCGGAGGTGGACTTTCTGCTTGCTAGTCCATCAGTGACTGAGGAGTCTGCTGCTGTCGCAGCTGAAGCCACTCCAGGTGTGGTGTCCGTTACAGTGCATCTTTTACCCATTACAGTCATACAGTTAGGTGTGTTCAGACTAAATGCTCAGTCTATTGACCTGCATTAGTTTCAGACATATCATAGCTGCAGTGACGAGTCAAATATTTGATTGACAGAATACGTCAAATGTAAGAATTTGCTGCGCTTCTTCACCATATATAATTTTTTGGTTATGGCTTGAAGGTTTAACAAAAGTGACATTTAAAAATGTCACCTTGATTACATTTTATATACAAAGTTTGTAATTTATTAATCAAAAACATGATCATCAGATTAATAGAAAATGAAAATACCTATTAGTTGCAGCCCTCATGTCAAGTAACATGCCACAGATATTGCACCGATAAGTAAAAATTTTCAGTTGTAAAATTTAAGATCTGAAGCTGTGACTTTTTAACCCAAACACTTCCTTGTTCCTACTTCTCAAAACGGAGGATTGGCAGTTTTTCTATGTCGTGTTTTTATAAATGAAATATGTAAATGGATATGTTGAGGTTAGGACTGCCGGTCAGACAAAACAAGTATATTAAAGATGCCACCTTGGGATTTGGGAAAATGTCATATGCAGTTTTTCACAGTGTCATGGACTAAAATCAGAAAAGCAGTCGGAAGGTTAATCAAAAATAACTGTTGGTTGTAGCCTCAGGTCGTCTTGGTGCCAGTTCCTCAAAATCTTCAAATATCAATCTAAAAAAATCCAGTGTCTGCAGTGAGAGTGTCACTGATCATCCAGGTGCAGCGTGTGGTTCACATTCCTCACCAGCAGGGTTGATAGAATTATGTTCCGTGTGTAGTGTCTGACCACACTCCATGCACTGATGTGAAGATGGAGTTGGATGTTGTGATTTGCCCTGGAAATCCCAAAGATAGAAATATTAAAGTAATGAGTTTTCTTATAATTTAGGGAAGCTGACTCTTGCTTTGGTATGATTACTTTTGTCCTTTTTAATTTCTATTTTTTGATATGAAAAATGCAGGAAGAGTCTTAATGTCGCTGACGAACACCATTAAAGTCCCAGACAATGAAAAGAGAGGGAGAACTAGAAGACAAAATGCTGCTGTCAGCTACAAGGAGCCGCCCCTCAACAGGTGAGGACGTCTCTGTGAACAACCGTGCTTCGGTACTGATTATACAAGAAAACAGTGGGGATTAATGAATGGTGCTTATGTTTTTTTTTTTAAAACAGGAAAATCAGACGTGGAGATAAATTCACAGACACCATGTTCCTGAGCTCTCCCGTGTTTAAGGATGAAACGAAGAAGACGAAGAAGCAGAAAAAAAACGAAAATAAGCTAAAGTCAGAAGGATTCATTTTGGTGGACTGATTTTTACTTTCTTTTTTTTTTTTACCCATTTTTTATTAGCTTATTAAAGATCTTTTTATTAAAACTTCAGACTTGTTTCCTAGTAACCACTTTGTTGTTGGAGGCCCCTGATTCACACATGAAGCTGTTCTGGGTATTATGATAGCCACTGCTCCACTGGCTTTCCAGTGATATCCCAATGGTAATGGTCAGAGACGTTCACAGGAGGCGGGTCATAAATGATTCAGTCCAGGCTGTTCACCTGAGAAGTGTGATCTCTGTACGAACCTTGTGTTGCCTAGAGAGGTTACCAGATTCAGTGTTAGGTGACTGCAGCCAAACATGCTTCATGATGTGAACTGAAGGACTAATCTCTTGTTTTTGCTTTATTTAAAAAAAGCGTACATAAGTGTGTGGTGAGTACAGATACTTGCATGTTTAATTTGTTGCCATTATGCCACAGCTTGTTTTTTGTGTTCTCATTAAACGTTACATTGCACAGGAGGAATGAATTGTTTTGTTTTACCATTAGTTACAGGGAACATGTTTTAAGTTGAAGACTTAGTTGTGTAGTTCTCATTGCATTTGTCAGTAGCTCCCTGTGTGGGCCCCCCGGTGTCAGGTTCATGTCCTACAACGTACTGCATCTTCAGCAGTAAGTTGACTCCTTTTTTTATGTTAATGTAATGTTCTGGTCACTACAACAGTAACTGTTTATAAGATGTATAGAAAATACCCTTTGTCTTTGCAGGAGTCCTACATGAGAGAAATTGATTAAAAAAAAATGGAGGCAAGGCAGCTGAAAAGAGATGTTGAGGCCCTTATGTGAGTGGATATTTAAAATCCAGAGATTGTTTAAAACCACAGTGACAGTTTTTTGTTTTTGTTTTTTTTTAATGGAAACGTTCACAGTTTTTCTAATCTGAACAGTGGTGCTTACATTGGCCAGAAGCTCAGGGAGAATTCTTTTGATCCAAAGGGGAAGGGGACGGCTACGTTGCTGGACGATCTGGTAAAAACACATCTGAGAGTTGGTCCTCAGCTGAGGCAGAGCTGCTTGTGAAATTCAGTGTCTGTTTGACATCTATATTTTATTTGTGTGCACGTTACAGGCTCACTATGATCTTGCACTCAGTGTTGCCCTGTGGTGGCTGGACAAAGAAGGAAGTAACGTGCTTGACCGAGACAGTGTGTAAGCTGCTTTTGTATATCAGAGGTTTCCTTTGACGGGGAAGCAGTGACGTCTTCTTCCCCAGAAGTCAGCATAACCCCTCTTTAGCCTTTCCACCTGGATTTTATTTAAAGGATAAGGCCAGTTATTTTCCATATGAACACTCCCCATACAGAGACTAAAATCAACACTGGTTTGTTTCTACTTAGGATTGTCTGCTAGTCCTGATTAGCTTATTTGTCTGTGCCACAGACATCCACTGATGTTTAAAATTAATTCTAAACTACTGCACTTGGTGACATACAGTATTTCCTCATTATAAAACACAAGACCCTAATATTTGTTAAGAATATGCAGACCACTATAAATACTAAAGGCCACCTTGTCAAGTCTAGTTAGTGGTAGCTGAAATAAGATTCTGGCCTGGTGTGTTAGCCCACACCACTTCTGAGAAGCTGCTGTAGATGAAGCTCTTGTCCTTTTTGAAATGTAATCTCACTGCCTCTGTTCCACAGTGGAGCAGCATGCAGCTCAGGCTGTGTCCAGTACCCTAATTGGTTTGAGCGGGAGGCAATGATCCTGTCATCCTTTGCTGGACTGATTATTGTAAGTGTCCTTTGACATGAAGCTTGATGTCTTAGAAAGGTTTGATACCTTAAGATTAGAAAAGGCCCAAGAAGGAGTGTGTCTGTACTGTATGTGTGTAGATGTACCTGAGGAATCTTTTGCTGCTTTACATAGTTTTTTTTTTAATTATTTTAATTGGAGGTGTGTGTAAAGTTGTAAATGTCTGTATGCATTTAGCTCAGGCTTAACTGATAGATCTGGCTTTTTGGTTCTGACATGGGATTCACTTGGAGTGTAGTTTTTGCATCCTTTGAGCAATTAGCAATAAAATATAATTTACCTCACACTCACGTCAATATTTACAGCTGAGGAGATTCATGAAAACC